ATAGCGTTATCAGTATCATTAACAATAAATAAATAGTAACATCATCATTCTAGTTAGCATAAACAGAATAAGCATAATAACCCAATTCATAATGGCAATCACAGTCAGTATTGTAATGATGATTAAAGAGTCTCATCAACATCATCTTCTTCATCACAGTGAGCATTTGCATTACTCTAGTCTCGAGTCCCTGGCTACAATTCACTTAAGAGCAACCACGAGATAATTAGTTTTCAGTTTTTTGCCAAAAGAAGCCGGACCGGAGGCCTGCATTTATCCGATTGGAAGCCGAGAGGAATGTTTCACAGTCATGAAGTTGTTAGAAGGGACCTGATCTTTGTCGGTCGAGCTATCCTCCGCCCGGCATCAACAGACGCCCTCAAAGTTAGAAACCATCCTTCCTAAAGAGCCTTCAAAACAAAAGGCCCAAAATGATGGTCGCCTGTGACCACAAGCTACGAGCAAATTTGTCAAATTCAGTGAAGCGTGTCATGATTTGTAATCAAAAAAATTTCTTTTTACAGTTTATCCGTTGATCGTAAATAAGAGATTTATTAACCTCACATATATATAGATAAATATATGTGTTCAAGTATCAGTTCTTCTATTCACGATCTACCGATAGCCTCTCAAATCGGTATGTAAAGTGGATTTCTATAAATCACATAAGATAACAGAAATATGGTATATCTTCATTTCAAGCAAAGGTGTATGTGAAAGATATTCAGGGAATATCTCACCGGAGAATGACGATGTATTCGTGTTAGTTTTCATCTAGCTAGATAGATAGACTGATGGATAGAAAGATGGATGAATTGATAGACTGCTAGATAGATGGATGGATAGATTGATAGAAATTGCAAGTTTGCCTTAACTGCAAACCCACTGAGACTGTAAAATGGGAATTTCATCTGTCAGCCTGGATTCGAGCTAGTCGACGAGCAGAATTGACCAAACTTTCTTGAAGGGAGCCACTGATGGACTGCTTTATCGTGTAAAATGAAAAGAAGAGTATTTGTGAAGAAAACTTGCGTTTCCAGGACTCGCTTGTTTGATAATAGTCGAGCTCACTTTACTTTCGAGTGAAGCCTCGAAAGCTTAGTCGGTTGTCTTCGGAATCAAGAGCAACGTAAACAAGAAGGTTCCAGTCAAGCAAATCGACAAGCGGTGAAAAGCGATATCGGCCGATGACCGTCGTCTGATGAGGCCGACCTTTGAGTCTCTTCCTAACACACATACGCACACTTTAATAAACGCACACACAGACACACACATACGTCAATGTAGACATACTTTCACATACTACACACACACATACGAACATGTACAGATGCACACATACATGCAGAGTCAAGAAATGTATTCAACAATGTCGCCTCACGAGGGTCGGCGGAGTGGACTCGTCGTGCGCCTCCGCTCGACTTGAGGCCAGAGCGGCTCGGCGTCAAGAGATTGAAGTGCTCCAGAAGGTGCTGGAACTCGACGCTGGCCTGCGTCTGGTTGTAGATGAGATGGAGGCGCTGCAGACTCAGAAATTGGTTCATCACCAAACCCTTCTCGAGGAACAAACTGACAAAGTCGACCTTGTCCTCTGTGAGAGCGCGATGCATGAGACGGTCAAGAGCGCCTTAAGAGGCCAGATCGCGGGCCAAAAGAGGGAGGAATAGGGAAGGGAAAAAAAGAGCGAGAGAGGGAATGAAGGTAATTGAGAAAGAAAGAAGTGAAGAGAAAAAAAGTATAAGTTAAAGAATAGAGAGATGAAATAATGGACGGATGAGTGATTGAAACGGTGAAAGAGGGAAAAAAAGAAAGAGGAAAATATGGAGGGAAAAAAAGGAAAGGAAAGGAAAGGAAAGAAAAGAGCGAGAGAAACAATGAAGCAAATTGAGAAAAAAAGAAGTACAGAGGGAAAAAGTAAAAGTGAAAAAAAAGAGAGATAAAATAATTGACAGAGAGATTGATTGAAGCGGAGAAAGAGGGAAAGAAAGAGGGAAATATGGAGGAAGGGAAATAGCAGGAAAGATAAGAGGGAGAGATGGAATTAATTTAATTGAAAAAGAAAGAAGTAAAGAGGGAAAAAGTAAAATTGAATGAAAAGAGAGATGAAATAATGGAAGTAGGGACTGATTTAAACGGGAGAAAAGGGGAAGAAAGAAAGAGGGAAATA